TGGTAGAAGTTGATCTTGGTTTCATCTGTCTGAAGAATGTTTTTCCAGATCTGAGCCGCAAAAATGTTTTAAATGTTTCTTTTTTTAACCAAGATTAGTCTAGATTTTTTTAGCCAAATGTAGATCACTAAATGTTTTTTACTTCTATTGTTTCTATTTAGAACTAATTATCATAAGAGAAACATATTCAACCACTTTAAGTCTACAAATGAATATTGCACTATATATATTAAATTATGCTATAAAAACCTCCCTGAAAACAAACTGAGAAACAAACATGTCTGATTTAGACTCTTTGGAAAAATAAGATAACCACATGGATTTCTGTTAAAGTCGGTTTCTTATTACTCTAAAGATGAGCTGAGAGTGGTCCCCTGGTGACATCATCCTACAAATGTTTAAACGCTGCCGAGAGTTTGTTCAGGTCTGCTGATGGTTTGTGTTAATGTGACTCTCTGGCACAGTAATATACAGCAGTGTCTTCATGCTACACATTCTCTCCATTAAAAGCAACTGTGCCTTTTCCTGTTTGATCTCTCCTCCTCGCTAACTCATACAAATCATAACATTATTTCCTTTGCGTGTCCAGCCTTACATACAACTCAATTTCGGCCTTTTTCCTCTTCATTTGCCTCTTTCTGTGCTGCATCTTTTTTGCTAATCTCGTCCTTTAAATAGTTTTCTGTACTTCCCCAATTCCATCACCGAGTCTACTTGTCATCTTTCCTCTGTCCAGAGTATACATCAGACATCTTATTGGCCTTTCACCTCAACACTACAGCTGTATTTTCCAAATTATCTGGTAATTTTGAAATTCAAGCAGGAAAAGATATAAAGCAGGTTTAAAGGTCATCCTTGAACTCTGTGCAACATTCTTCTGTATTCAACTTCCATTTAATCCTTAGCTTTACCTTTACTTACTTCCTTTTCCTGATTACCAAAGACTACCATACAATATAAGCCACATTTTCTCACGTCTCTCTCTACCGTATGCATAGATTCCACCTGTGTGCATATCCTGTCATATAGGTCCCTCTTTGTTGCTCCATCTTCTTAAAGTGTTCACCACAGCCATTTCCATGCTTTTGGCAAGATCCACTACCATCTATTTTTCTGCATTTTTCTCTTTAGCAACATGCCTATCCAACACCTCATCACCTTGAAGTCTGCTCCAATCACCACTCTCTCTCTCTCTCCGCTAGACTATCTACCACTTCATCCATGCTATTCTCTCCATCTGACAGCTTCCTACCTTTACCAGTCATAGTCCCTACATTTAAAATACCTCCTCTCCTGCCTTTCTTTTTCTCTTGCTGCCTCCTAAAATGCTTCACCCATCTTCTCTCTTCTCTTCGGCCAACAGCACTGTTTCCACTGGAACCACTGGTAGACCAATAGCATCAAAAGCAGTTGTTGCTTAAACAACCATTGTTCAAACAATTTTACAAAAATCTTATTAAGCGCTATGGTTCAGCTGCTATTTTTTGCAAGCAAAATATTAATTAATAAATTAAAAAATGTAGGAAAATTAAAAAATAAAAATAAAAATATTTGCTCATTACCATTAATATGTTACAAATGTAATCAGTTGATGTGTGATTAATGAATAAAAGCAAATATGGATACATAAAGTTTGTTTACAAGTGAAGAGAAAACTGAGCAGTCACTGAGGTTTTTGTGCAGGTGTTACTCTGTCCTCAGTCACTGTGCTTTCTCGGGCACAGAAGTAAACAGCAGAATCTTCTGCTGTCAGACTCTTGATCTCGAGATACTGTCTGCTGCTGGAGTCTTCTTCAGTTATGATGAAACGACTTTGAAAAGAATTGCCATAGGAGGCAGAGTTTCTTCCTGTGTTCATCCACCCAATCCACTCCAGAGCTCTGCCCGGCCTCTGTTGTATCCAGTGAATATTGTAGCTTGTTAAGCTATAACCAGATATGATACATGACATCTTCACTCTCTCTCCAGGTCTCTTCACCTCAGAAGGAGACTGCTCCAGTTTGATCTCACTCCAAACTCCTGTTAACAAAAAAAAAAAAAAAAGGGGGGATAGAGAGAGAGTTACTATGAGACTTTTTCATTCAGTAGTTTTAAATAATTTTTATTTTTATTTTTTACCCTGAAGCCAAACTATAAGGACAAAGGTCCAGGAAAATATATAGTCCATATTTTCACAATCACAGTAACACAGATGTAACACAGTAAAGGAAGGCTGGTGATGGTGTGTTTATAAGGGAGGGAACTTTGCATAGACCTCCCTCTGCAGATTTAACATAGGAGAAATTTGGTATTCAAAATCTAAGTGGAGTTTTTCAGTTTTTTGGGTATAGCAGGTAAGAAGTGGCAAGTTCATAAATTGTCTACTTTTGCATGTATATCATGCCTTTTAATATAGGCATAAAAAATCTATAGCAACATACAAACAAATAAATACTAGTAGTAACTAGTACTGTACTGTGAAAGAAATGTAGACATACAAACAGATTTGTTTTCAAATTAACAATTTATTTGAATTGTTCATTAATTATTACAGACTCCATGATCCATCCAAAAAGGTAAATCTCGTTCAAATAATTAACAACAAACAAAACAATTAAAGAAAAAAATGAATAAACAAGTGATTGGTGAGCCATTTTCCTAGTGGAATAAGCTGATTCAAATCAAGCCAGCAAAATATCTCAACCAGCATGACAGAGACTTCATTTTTTTTCCTTTAACTTCTTTTAATTTTTGCAGTATAATCGCTGCAAGGTCATCCTTTAACCAGCCATAATTATTTATCACCATTTATTATTAATCTGCCAATCTTTAAATGACATCTAGTAATAATGTGCAGGCAAATTAAATGGGGATTTAAATTTGCATTTTACCTGACTGATATTTCAGAGTGCTAAAAATGAACAGCCAGAAAGAGCTAATAAGAAACATATATGCTGAATTTGAATTTAAGTTTTTTAATCCGTGAATGTTTGATCCAATTTTGACTGAATAATATTTGTAACACATGTATTATTTTATTCTGCTACTTCACACACAAAATAACTTGTGTGATATATCATAAGGCAGCAGATTGCTCTGTTGCCTTATGATATATTAATCATTGTGTTTTGGGGTTAGACTTGTTGGGTAATGTTGAACATTTTTCAATGTATTTCAAACTTTAATTAAAACAACAAACAGCAAATAAGGATAAACAACATAATTCTTCCTTGGGATCGCTGACAAAATGAAAACTGAGCAGTGCACTTACTGTGTCTCTTGAGCACAGTAATAAACAGCAGAATCTTCAGTTTTCAGTCTGTCCATCTGCAGATGAACCCCCTGTTTGCTTTGTCTCTGGAGATGGTAAACCTTCCTTGAACTGACTGAGAGTAGCTTGTAACTTCGATGTAAGCAACCATCTCAAGTCCATTTCCAGGAGCCTGTGTGACCCAGGCCATCCAGTAGTTGCTGAATGTGAATCCAGAACAACTACAGGTCAGTCTGTGACTCTCCAGGCCTTTTAATCACTGATTTAGATTGTGTCAGAGTCTGACCATTAACTCCTGTCAAAGCAAAACAAAACAAACAAATAAAAGGACAAAAAGAAGAAAATGAAGAAAATAATCTCTAATCAAGTTTTGATTACAAATTTGACAAAACATTAGTGAAACTCTTCACCTGCCCAGATTATGATAGAAAGCAGCAGCCCTGTTCTTGCATCCATTACATCAAGCTGTGTGACGATTCCACTCTGTCATCCTCACTGCAGTCATACTATATAAATAGTTATAACACATTCAAGTTTTGCACTGACTTTGCACCTTGACATGTAACACCTTTTTTTTAAGATCAACCCCTGGGGTCTCCAGTGCATAACCAATCAAAACCCCTGATTCATTATTGTTATCACATCTGATATACAGACAGCATAATATCTGCATTTTTATTGCATCTTTGTTTCACAAATAGCATTTTTTGATTACTAAAATGTTTTTGTGTTATAATCAAAATATACTTTATTGTCACTATGTTGAGTATTACAACTACCTTTAGTGGTGAAGTATATGTGTGTACAAACATGATGTTGATGGGGAAATGTGTTACTGATGTGACAACAGCATCAACACAATTAAAAAAATGCAATACTGTCAAGCACTGCATTTGAGTTTTCAATAAAAACATGGTATTTTTTTTCAAATGTATAATTTTTCAATGTATAATTGAAAGATTATACACAGAGAGTGTGTGACATGCCTTGTCACACACTCTCTGTGTTAGCTGTGAAAGTGTTTTTCTCTTAAAAGCAAATATAAACATACATCTTCAGAAGAGGTTTATTTGAAGCAAATGTTCTCAGTCTTGTATCACAAGTACTTGATGGCACTGCTAATTACACCAAAGAATGTACCATGTGTAGTGTGACTTGAGTGTACTATGCAATAGCTCATAGTTCATGTGTTACATCTTAAAAAGATGAACATCCTGTGTGACAATTGTTCAAGTGACAGATGGACAGAGATACTACAGGTACATCCAAAGTAACTAAAAAGAATCAAGCTGCTAATATCAGCAGCAGCAGAGTTGCACTTAGTTTGCGTAGAGAAGAAGCATGAAGAGGAAGAAAGTGAAGCACATGGAAAGAAGACAAACCACAAATGGGACAAAGTTTCAAAAGAATAGAAAAGAATGCATTGACATGGATGGTATATACAAAAAAAAAAAATTAAAAGGAGAACAGACAGTTAAAAAAAACTGTAACCATTAAAAAAAGAAAAACCAAAGACATGAAATACGACAAACATATGTTCAGTTGTAACCATTTTTAAATACATTTTGAACCAAAAATAATAAAAGGTGCACATTAAAATAAATTAAGCATAAGATAAAATATAACAGGATTGGATAAAACACTCTCAAAATAATGTTAAGGTAAAATTTATTTTAACATGTATATATGGTCTGCACCAAACTAGAGTGGACTACTGAATGATTTTGTACAGCTGCTTAAACAACCCCAGTCAGCGTGCCTCTCGAGCACAATAATAAACAGCAGAATCTTCAGTCTTCAGACTGTTCATCTGCAGATACAGCTGCTCTCTGCTGTTGTCTCTGGAGATGATAAACCGACCTTGAACTGACTGAGAGTACCAAGTGCTGCCCCCACTGCTGCTAATTCTTGCGATCCACTCCAGTCCTTTTCCAGGAGCCTGTCTGACCCAGGCCATGTAGTAGCTGCTGAATGTGAATCCAGAGGCTGTACAGGTCAGTCTGTGAGATTCTCCAGGCCTTTTAACTGCTGGATCGGACTCAGTCAGAGTCTGACCATCAACACCTGTGAAAACACAAAAGAAAATAAATGATATACCATATCTTAACCAAGTTTTCTAAAACAGATGTCAGTTGATGTTTTCACCTGCCAGGCAGACAGTTAAAAGCAGAAGCCCTGTCCTGTAATACATTATGTAAGTTGTTTGTCATCTGCTCTCATCCACTTTTCAGTCTCATAAGTAGAGGTAGAAGATTTGAGTTTTGCATTTGATTTTTGACTCCTCCTCACAAACTTGGTTTATTTTCCCTTTCCCTTTGGGAAAGATGAACCAGAGCCTCCGGGCTCGGTCCGCTAGACCGCTTAATAACATCATCCACCAACTTCATTCCCCCCTCTGCCCGCTGCTGTAACACACTCTCTCATACAAGTTACTATCATATCTTTAATTGTCTATGAAACTGCAACATTTGCACCACATAATTGCTGCTGTTGGTCACTGCACTATTGTCAATGTACAACGCACGAGATGCTCTCTTTTTGTTTAATTGGAAATCTATCTTGCACGACTGCACTATGTACATAGGTTTGACTTTCATATATTTCCCTGCAGTGTCCTTTATCTTTCTTAATTCTTCCTAAGAATAATGTGAGAGAGAAACAGTATTTCAATTCTCCTGTGTGTGCTGTACATGTAGCAAATTAAAAATATAATTATTTGAATACTGAATGTTGAATTGACCACACCACACCCCTTCTCATTACAGAGTTGCACATCACCTAATATGCTTAATTGGTAGTAGGCTTTCGAGCCTATACAGCTTGGAGTAAGACAACATGCATGGAGAGGATGATGTGGACAAAATACTCATTTGCCTAATAATTCTGCACTCCCTGTATATTTAAGAGAAGTTCACTCTCATATTGACAAGACTTTTCTTCCGACCTTTTTCCTACTAATAAATCTTTTACTTACTTTTAAAGTTTTAAATAATACGGCGCCTAGTTATTTAAACAAACTCCTCAACATGTATGACCCCAAAAGAGCACTGAGATCATCTATAGCCAGATGCTCTTAGCACAACCAAGGTCCCAGTTGAAGTATAGAGGAGATCTGAAATAATCTGCCAGAGGAGATTCATACTTCAGTCTATTCAGTCTTTTAAATCTCATCTTAAAACTCATTATTTACTTTGACTTTTAATTCAAGTTCAGTATGAGTACCAGAACCAGAACCTCTCGCCACAAGAACAGTTTCTTCCCCTCTGCTGTTGGACACATGAACAATAAACGTACGACTGTCCCCACCACTAACTCATGACCCTACGCTGTGTTCACTGCATGATTCCATGTTTTGGCACTGATCACCACCTGCACTCATGTATATATCTTTCTACGTAGCACTTTCAATTCTTATTCTCATGTATATATCTCATGTATATCTCATGCATATATCTTTCTATGTAGCACTTTTAATTCTTATTCTTACTTTTATGTTTTCATGTCTATTTAAGCGCAATTTATGACAGCATGTTTGCACTGAAGCACCGCAGCAATTTCCTAATGTTGTAAACCTGCTCAACATTTGGCAATAAAACCCATTCTGATTCTGATTCTGATTCTGAGTACCATCAGGCCTGTTTTATGTTTTTTATTATTAATTCACTTTCTTCTTATTTATCTGTATTTGTTTCAAATTTATCTGTATTTGTTTCAAATTTATCTATATTTGTTTCTCTATTGTTTTCTCTTGTTTTTAACCGATTGTGAAGCACTTTGGTCATATCTGTTGTTTTTAAATATGCTATACAAATACATTTTGAATTTGAAATCTTTCTAAAATGTATTACTGATGTGGCATAAAATGTTGTCGTTAAAGACATTCACACTAAAACAGAGTCTTTTAAAAGATTGTGTTAGAGTGTTTGAGATTTGGGACACATTAGTGTTTATACTTCTGCATGAAGCAAAAATTGTAGACCTTCTTTGGGCGGATTCAGTCTGATGAGAAAACTGACTTCAAGTTATTCTGTCACTATTCACTGAGTTATACTGTGTTGCCTTTAGGTCCCTACAATATAGGGCTCCAAGGCTTTTGGTGATCACCCTGTGACATGAACTGAACGCATTAAAGAAGTACAGGCAGACTTTAAAAATAATTTTGTGGGTAAAAATAAGGGATTACACTCTTTGTGGTAAATAAATATATATTTGTGACAGTGACACTAATGATAATCAAAGGTTCTCATGAAATTCCACATGAAATGAATGTGGACGCTTTGAGTGGTGATGCACTACCCCAAACCACAATTTTGTAAAATATATAAAAGGTAAGTTAAAAATGTCAGGGACACGATATCAAAAACATGTTTTTTGAGAAATAGCTGGAACATGAAATGATAACAACTTTATATTTATCAGATATTGCAAGAAACCAACCTCACTGGGTCATTTTTAACCTGTTTATGCATCTAAGGGTTTCTTTTAGATCACTTTATACCTCCATCGCTAGTTATGACCTGAGGTCCTCACCCAAGGCTCTTCTGGTCATCCCACAATCATGACTGAGAACAAAGGCTGATCAGTTTTTTCTTTTTTCTTTTTTTTTCTCTCAGGACACCGACTCTTTGGAATATTCTCCCCGAAGAGACCAGATCAGTTAGCTCACGTTCATCTTTTGAATCCCTGTTAAAGACATATTTTTATAAGCAGGTTTTCCTGTGACTCCATTTAATTATTTCTATGTTATTATTTCTGTTTCTATGTCAGCCTACATAACTGTTTAACCACTGTATCTCAATCATTTTTATTATTTATTTGTTTGCTTTTAATTTATCTTTTTTCCTTCTCTATTCTCTACTATTCCTGTTTTTCTCTTTGTGCAGCCAGTATTCCCATACCTAATGCTGTTTTAATTGTGTTTCCTCTTAAATACAGTAGGAGTGTCTCTGTAACTCTCCTGGGGGGTGAACACCATACTATCAAAACATATTCCCAAATTTAGTGTCTTGTGTTTATCTTATCAATGTCAGGACTGATGTGGAGCAACAACAAAGTACAAAGTAGCTAACATTATGATATCTCATTGGCATTACTGTATTAAGTAAGGGGCGATTATTTTAAAAGGATTGAAGCAAAGATCTAATGTAGCAGAAATGGTGTGAACCAGAACCTGTTGCTAGTCATGGTAAAGATGAAGCAGATGGAGACTTGAATAAGGCTCTTTGTATGAGTTTAAGACGTGGAGGCAAAGAGTCACAAAAAAGGCAGAATGACAGAATACATTGAGTTTAAAGTAAAATTAATGAAGACATATTGACATGCAAAGGGCAATGAAGAAAATTAATGGACCAGAGTAATGGCAATATAATTGAGTTTGACTGAGTGGGAAACCTGCAGTGATGACAAGAAGTGACTACTGGCCCAGACACCCGGGAATGCAGGAAAGTAAACTGAGACCTTTGTTGTGAGGTGAATAGAAACATTATTTTTATGCAAAATGTTTAATATTAGTATTACTATTTCCACATTATTATTTCAACCCACATTTTTCCATTCAGACTGCCTCTCCCTTTAAAAGTGGTCTGAGGGCGCCTCCTCTGGTGGATTTACACGTTGAGGGTCTGACAGGTTTTTGTACAGAGCTGCTGGTTGTTTGTGTTACTGTGAGTCTCTGGCACAGTAATACACAGCAGTGTCATCAGGCTGCAGATTCTGTCCAGTTAAAGTCACTGTTTTACTGGAAGAGTCTATGGAAATACTGAACTTGCTTTTAAGTGAATCTTTGTAGTATGTTGTAGATCCAGTTGCTGCCATTCCAACCCACTCCAGTCCTTTCCCTGCAGGCTGTCTGATCCAAGCTGTGTACCAGCTGCTAACAGAATAAGAGACCTGACAAGTGATGGTGAGACGTTGACCTGGCTGCACAGTCTCTGAGGCTGGCTGTGTCAGCTGTTCACACTTCACACCTATTAAAAGAGAAAATGTTTTGTGACAAATTACATTCACAGAATAAATACTGTTGAATGTTATCAAAAGAGACTCACATGAAGTTGCTAAGACCAGTAAGAGAGCTGCAAAAAACATGTTTTTTGATGAACGTGTCATGATGTGAACTCCACACCACAGTCTGATGTAAAGCTTTTATAGCTGAGTAACAGAGGAAGTCAGCGAGTTTGCATATAAATACATAAACATTACATAGTAACTCTCATGTACAACATGAAAACGTCCTAGGGAAATTCACATATTTATTTTGGTGACTTTAGTATAAGTATTGTGGTAAAAGAGAAATATCAGATGGTTCTATTAATGTTATGTTAAATTGCTGTTTTACAAACACTTGTTAAAACATTAATGAGATGGAGCAATCGCCATATTTACATTTATCTGTTCTGAGTTATTTCTATGTTGTCCTTCATAAATGTTTTACTACTTTCTCCTAACGATCATTTTGATTATTTTTGGTTTATATTTGCTTTTAATTTGCCTTTTATTTCCTTTTGCTTTTCTTCACTGGGCAGCCAGTATTCCATATCTATTGTTTCAAATATAATGTCTCTTGAATACAATATTGATGTCTGTGGATCTTTGATGTAGGGGTGAAAACCGTAAAAACACCATCAAAACATATTGAATTTATCTTTTTAGCATTAATGTTGATGTCTTCTTTTTAGAAACAACAAAGTGTGAAGTCGATAAGTCGTGGTATCTCATTGGCATTACTGTATTAATTAAGGAGAGATTATTTGAAAGGAATGAAGCAAAGAGCTAATGTAGCAGAGCTGAGGCCCAGGAGTCAAAGGAAATAAAACAGAATCTGCGAAGTCTATATGCTAATGATAGTGAAGGTATGAAGACTTGAATAAGGCTCTCTGAATGACCAGGATGAGTTTAAGATGGGGAGAGAAAGGGTCACAGAAACTAGACTGCGTGAAGAGAGAATGACAGAATATACTGAGATTTAAAGTAAAGTAAATGGAAGCAGAGTTTCAGTTTGACTGACTGGGAAACCTTAAGTGAAATAAATAAGCAGCCTAAACAATCAGGAATGCAGACCAGAAGATCTAATTTACATTTGCCTGAAGCTCTGTAAATGAACTTTCTTTGTAAAATGTTTCATAATAAGACTGCCTCTTCCTTCAAGTTTAAGTGGTCTAAGGACTCCTCTACTGGTGAATTTAACGATTGGGTCTCTCA